CATCCTCAAACTTCACCTCTTCACGCCTGGAAACATCGGCATCCACTGGTCTCGACCTTTTCCTCGCACGAGGCACAATAGGAGTGTGGAACATCTCTCTTGAGACGCAACTATCCAAAGTATTTCTGCACCTCTAGGAATTTCTGCTGTTTTGAGCTTTTTCTATTGTTGCGTGCCACTTAACTTCCATCCAGGAAAAACACCCACTTTGGTAATGCCACAGTTGTGTTTATTTCACAGTTGTTGATCTTCTTTTTTTTTTGCCTGACAGTAGGAGAGTGTGTCAGTTGGAGCAGGGTTGGTGAGAGTTGGCAGACAGGAAAAGGGCTCTGGCAACAGGTGTTGAGGATTTGGTGTTTACCAAAAACCACCTGCCAAGATCGAATGATTGAGGATGGGAGGAAAAAATGAAAACAACCGGTTGCCGTGGCATTATGCACTACCAGCAAAAGTTGCAAACACACGTTTAAAGGAAGTAAACACCGCCTGATCCAGCTGCTTCTTAAAAAGCATCTTAAAAGTTTCAGTCGCAATTCCCCTCTCTTGGCTGGAGTAAAGCCTCACTCCTGGGAGACGCCTGAATTCTGGTCACCTCACAAACCCCTCACAGCTGTCCTGCCATGTCCAGTTCGTCTCGCCACTCACCGTCTCATTATGTCCGGACCAAGTCTCCACCATCTGCTCCACCGCTTTAATTAGCTTACTGCCTAAAATGAGAGGCTTTGTGGGCATTTCCCCTGAGATCCCACAAGCTCATACACGGCCTTTGCACACAAACACACAAACAGGTACTGTATATGCAAGCCATTGATGATTAGGAAGCATTTATCGAGGGAGAAACACTGCATATGCAGTGGTCAGGAACACAAACTGAAAATGGAATTAATCTGTTTAACTCATCAATTCCTTTTGTTTCCAGAGAGGTAATTACAACATGAGCCATTGTCTTGTGCTGTTCAGATTTCTCTGCTACAGTGCTCAACAACGTGAAAGAAAAGCTTTAAATGTCATTGTAATTATTTACAATAATGCATCTGCTTCAGTAGACCAAATAGTAATGATTTGTTGATTTGGGCAAGCAGGGAGGGGGGGGAANNGGGGGGGGGGGGGGGGGGTCATTACAGACTTTGATTCTACATCTAATTACCAAAGCCTCTGTTCTTTTTCTTCACTTTAATAAGCACACCTTGCTTCTGTCAGCTAGACAGAATTTATTACATTGCTCTCATTAGCATGGAGTTCTGGGGGTTAACGGGTGTCACAGGGCACACGTGGCTAATTGTTTGACTATTTACCCCAGCCAATCACTCAGCTTTATATGAGGGTGCTGGCCTCCATCCAAACTGAGACCGATGATATTCTACCAACACTTTAGACAAATGGTTCCTACACTGCCAGCGGCAATCACTGCAAGAGCATTGGACCCAATTTTTCCTAACTTTCTTCAGTAGCTCTGTGGATGCATGACACAATGTCTGATACCTGTAAAGAATTTTTGTAAATAGGTAATTTGGTTAGTCAAACCCACAGGACTTTATTTTACTCCCAAAGGAAAATAAATTATACTTTTAATTGACTTTTACTCAAGCAATGGAAGTACATACTTGCACTTTACTTGATTATTTCCATGTTATTCTATTTTATACTCCACTTATTTAAGAAATAAATATTGTATTTTTTACTCCACATTCACCTGACAGCAGCAGTACCTAGTTGCATTTCAAAAGTGAAATTATTTTATTTTTTAAAAAAGTGATTATTATAGAATAAACTAACAATTTAAAATTTGCTCCACCTTGACCAGCTGCAACATTAAAATTATATCTCTGCATTATTGTATCAGCAATAATAATCCAGTATTATGTCATGTAACTGTCTGAAAGGGGGCAGTCTGCATGAGTGTCTTATACTCCAACCTGTAATAAACCTAAATTATTCTAAATACTTCTTCCACCACTGAAGACATTGATATTTTTATTTGATGAAGTAGTGCACCCATAAAAACATTGAGGGTTTGAATATTTAAGTCTGTATAAACATCAGTTTATACAGACTTTTTTGCATCTTCAGTGCAATATGCAAATTATTTACTTAATACAATTACTCCATAACAAAAGTCCTGTATTCAAAATGTTACTTAAAGTTCAGACACAATAGCAACAAAATGTACTTAAACTAGTATTAAAGTATTAATTATTATTATTGGTGAAAGCAGTTCTTTAATGACTTTGAACAAATTCTATTTTGTACCTTATTCAAACACTGTAGACTAGTTTAACCTATAATGCATCATATTTTAAAAACATATCACCTGTTGTAGGCCTGTGTAAAATCTTAACCGGTTAAGTCACTAGTAGTAGTAGTACTTAAGTTACTTACAGTACTGGAGTGTACTTGGTTACTTGGTTTAATTTAATTAACTAATACAAATATTGATTAGAACAGCTTTAAAGC